TCATGAGGGAGGGAGGGTGGGGGAGGGAGTGGGGGGAATGAGGAGCCGATACCAAGGGCTTAAGTAGAAAGCAAATGTTTTGAGAATGATGATGGCAACAAATATACAAATGTGCTTGACACAATGGATGTACATATAAATTGTGATAAGAGTTGTACAAGCCCCCAATAAAATGATTTTAAAAAGAAGAAAGAAAAGTCCCGTCGTATAAAAAGGCTCATGACACTAAGGAGGTGATATCAGGGTTGGCTGATTGACAGGGTTGGCTCCATCCCAAGCCAGGAGTATTTCATTCCCACGATCCCGAACTATCAGCGCTGGCATCAATAAATAGGTGATAATGTCTATTCTCTATAAAATCCTTTGGGTTTTTCAAAGAGTAAAGCTGAGCTCTAGAACCTCTTTCAGGACACTGGTTAGAAACTACATTTGTATCACTCCACGGACTCAGCTGTCACTACAGTCTTATCAGAAAATAGCTGAGGCACAATGTTTCCTTGACAAACAGGAAATTTTCCATAACCTTCCCCCTGTTTGAAACTGGCCCTGATATCTCGTGATCAGCTTAAGATAAAATTCTTTAACTCTCATTAGCCATAACCCCATAGTGGGTTCATGCCAAGTAAATCCTTACATGTTATCATAAGGGACTCTATGTAGAAAAGGGCTTGTGAGTAAATAATTTTATGGGTTTTATCTATGTTTATGTATGCATGTGTGCATGCTTTCGTTTTATTCCAAAGACAGATGGGTCTCTAATAGGTCTCCGGACAGTTGACTTCCATTTGACACTTGGTTTCTAGGACACTGAGCGCTCAGTTCTTTACTGGGCGGAAGTGACAAGCGCACACTTTCAAATCTTTCAAATAATCACAGGCACCCTCATTATGACCACTAATAAAATAAGTCAAGATGTGCTAAAATTATGAATGTTTATTGTGAACAATAATGAAATGCGCAATACTTTCACGATTTAATGAAAGTGTGGAAAGTGAGGATGCAAATTATGCAAACAAAGTTGTTTAACAGAGCTACAGAAAAATCACCTCAGGCTACTTTTCCTTATATGAATGTGATGATTAGAGCTATACACCTGGCCATTCCATTTGCTTAGGGGACAATGGCCAAATGCAAGACTGCATATGGATTCATGGACTTTGGCCAATAGCTTGGCGGGATCGTCGATTGGAAGAAGTATGATTAGAAAATTGGTGACGAGGAGATGTGGGAAAGAAGTATATAAATAGACCTCAATGAGTGGTCAAAAATAGGTGAATACATCTGTGCTTGATTTGAATGCTCACCAAAGGGTTACCTCTGCAGACGGGGACTTTAACCATCAAGTGGGATGGATGACACATTGTTTGGAAACCAATCGTCTTTTTCCCCCAGCCCCTGCTGGACACAGTGGAGGTATGTATGGATTGTGATGAGAATTGTATGAGCCCCCAGTAAAATTTAAAAAAAAAGAATTAGGTCCTTTAAATATTGTAATCCCATTTTAAACTTCCAAGTTTGACATTTGTGTTGTTTTTTACTCTGGAAAGGTTTAATACACTTGGTTTCTTACAGATTTAAAACACATATATCCTTGGTATACTTTTTATTAAATAAAAATTGCATTCCAATACTCTAATCTGTTGAAAGGGTATTTTCACTGTCCCCACAAACGTCATGACATCATTTCATACGTGCTTTTACTGTTCTTCCTGTGGACGCCCATCACAGAACGCGGCTCCACATGCTTACCTAAACTTATGGAAACTGCATCTGTCTTCCAGGGCTGAAGCTTCTGTTCCTCAAAACATTCCTCTGCTTTTGTACATGGCCCTTTCTCTCAGCCCCTGCAACACAGATGGCCTCCAGAACCCTTCAGCTCTGAAGGACTGCTGATCCTGTATCCTGAGTGCTTGCCTCATCTCCCCAGAGAAATTGTGACTTTCTTGTCCACAGAACATTGCCTTATTCGTTCTCTCTCCCACTTCTCCAGGACCTACCCCCACGGGCAAAGCGAGGAGCTCTCATTCCTCAGGAATAACTGGTGCTTTAGGCCAGGTTGTCTAGGGAAATAAACCCAGACATTCATCTGTGGACCAGGAAGAACTGTATAGGAAGAAGCAACCTGGCATCAAGAACGTGCCCCCACCCAGTCCAACTCGAGGCCACCGAGCCAATGCCAGC